AAGTCAATATCTGAGGGAATTTTTGGCCCAGCTGTGGGATTATTCTCCTGATGATCCACAGAAGGGAAAGTAGTGGATCGCCAAGCTTTTCATCCAAGATGCTAATGACTTAGCAGTGCCAACTGTAAGACAAATGGAGAGACTCTACTTGTGAAAGGACCTTGCAACTGACTTTCTCTAGCTAGGAGCTCAGCGGCGTTTGGCTGTCTGTGAAGGAGAGTACCTAGCTTTAGTTGCAGAAACCTGAAAGTTTGCATCTCTTTTTCATCCTGGTTTCTTTGAGAGTCGGAGTCTTTGTTGGTGTTGGAGATTTAAAAACAAAAGCCTGTCAATCAGAATGAACCTGCAAGTGGAAGGATGGCCTTGGGGTGAGGGATTGATCTGAGATGTGTGTGTGGTGGGGGTGGGCTTCAATTCCTAACTCTTCTTCAGATGATTTTAGGCAAATCACTTAATTCCTCTGTGCCTCAGTTCCTCACCTGTGAAATGGGGATGATGATTATAGCTGGCTGGGAAATAGAAATCTCGTTGTGTGAAGAATCTGGCATGTTTGACGTATTTTTTCATCTTGAATTGGGGTGAAAGGTCAAAAATTTGAATTTTTTTGCAGGAAGGGATTTCCAGAAAAAATCCATTTCAGGAGAAGGGGTACAGAATTTTTCAGCTTCCTGCCTGCCCAGAAGGCTCTTGTCACTTTCACGTTAACCTTGCAGGCAGAAGATAATGAAATTAACAAAAGCTTTCCAGGTGGGCAGCTGGGGAGCTTCATTTTGCTTTTCCTGATAGAAAATCTAAATTTTCCTGCAGAAAATCCTATTACTGCAAAAAGTGCATTCTCCATCAGAAAACTATTCCAACATAAAATTCCCAACAGTTCTAATACCAACACTTACTTCCTTTGTCCATCTAGCCCATTTAGACGTATAAACTCTTCAGGGCAGGAACTGTCTCTTACTGTGTGTACATATGGGGTCTGCAACAAGGGCGTGCCAGTCTTGATTGGGGCTTTTAAGGGCTACTGGAATACAAATAAACATAGTTAGTCCAGACTTCAGAGTAACAGCCGTGTTAGTCTGTATTCGCAAAAAGAAAAGAAGTACTTGTGGCACCTTAGAGACTAACCAATTTATTTGAGCATAAGCTTTCGTGAGCTACAGCTCACTTCATCGGATGCATACTGTGGAAAGTGTAGAAGATCTTTTTATACACACAAAGCATAAAAAAATACCTCCCCCCACCCCACTCTCCTGCTGGTAATAGCTTATCTAAAGTGACCACTCTCCTTACAATGTGTATGATAATCAAGGTGGGCCATTTCCAGCACAAATCCAGGGTTTAACAAGAACGTCTGGGGGGCGAGGGGGGGGAGGAAAAAACAAGGGGAAATAGGTTACCTTGCATAATGACTTAGCCACTCCCATAATGACTTAGCCACTCTATTCAAGCCTAAGTTAATTGTATCCAATTTGCAAATGAATTCCAATTCAACAGTTTCCTCGCTGGAGTCTGGATTTGAAGTTTTTTTGTTGTAATATCGCAACTTTCATGTCTGTAATCGTGTGACCAGAGAGATTGAAGTGTTCTCCGACTGATTTATGAATGTTATAATTCTTGACATCTGATTTGTGTCCATTTATTCTTTTACGTAGAGACTGTCCAGTTTGACCAATGTACATGGCAGAGGGGCATTGCTGGCACATGATGGCATATATCACATTGGTGGATGTGCAGGTGAACGAGCCTCTGATAGTGTGGCTGATGTGATTAGGCCCTGTGATGGTGTCCCCTGAATAGATGTGTGGGCACAGTTGGCAACGGGCTTTGTTGCAAGGATAGGTTCCTGGGTTAGTGGTTCTGTTGTGTGGTATGTGGTTGCTGGTGAGTATTTGCTTCAGGTTGGGGGGCTGTCTGTAGGCAAGGACTGGCCTGTCTCCCAAGATTTGTGAGAGTGTTGGGTCATCCTTCAGGATAGGTTGTAGATCCTTAATAATGCGTTGGAGGGGTTTTAGTTGGGGGCTGAAGGTGACAGCTAGTGGCGTTCTGTTATTTTCTTTGTTAGGCCTGTCCTGTAGTAGGTGACTTCTGGGAACCTTCTGGCTCTATCAATCTGTTTCTTCACTTCCGCAGGTGGGTATTGTAGTTGTAAGAATGCTTGATAGAGATCTTGTAGGTGTTTGTCTCTGTCTGAGGGGTTGGAGCAAATGCGGTTGTATCGCAGAGCTTGGCTGTAGAGGATGGATCATGTGGTGTGGTCAGGATGAAAGCTGGAGGCATGTAGGTAGGAATAGCGGTCAGTGGGTTTCCGGTATAGGGTGGTGTTTATGTGACCATCGTTTATTAGCACTGTAGTGTCCAGGAAGTGGATCTCTTGTGTGGACTGGACCAGGCTGAGGTTGATGGTGGGATGGAAATTGTTGAAATCATGGTGGAATTCCTCAAGGGCTTCTTTTCCATGGGCCCAGATGATGAAGATGTCATCAATATAGCGCAAGTAGAGTAGGGGCGTTAGGGGATGAGAGCTGAGGAAGCGTTGTTCTAAGTCAGCCATAAAAATGTTGGCATACTGTGGGGCCATGTGGGTACCCATAGCAGTGCCGCTGATTTGAAGGTATACATTGTCCCCAAATGTAAAATAGTTATGGGTAAGGACAAAGTCACAAAGTTCAGCCACCAGGTTAGCCGTGACATTATCGGGGATAGTGTTCTTGACGGCTTGTAGTCCATCTTTGTGTGGAATGTTGGTGTAGAGGGCTTCTACATCCATAGTGGCCAGGATGGTGTTATCAGGAAGATCACCGATGGATTGTAGTTTCCTCAGGAAGTCAGTGGTGTCTGAAAGGTAGCTGGGAGTGCTGGTAGCATAGGGCCTGAGGAGGGAGTCTACATAGCCAGACAATCCTGCTGTCAGGGTGCCAATGCCTGAGATGATGGGGCGCCCAGGATTTCCAGGTTTATGGATCTTGGGTAGTAGATAGAATATCCCAGGTCGGGGTTCCAGGGGTGTGTCTGTGCGGATTTGATCTTGTGCTTTTTCAGGGAGTTTCTTGAGAAAATGCTGTAGTTTCTTTTGGTAACTCTCAGTGGGATCAGAGGGTAATGGCTTATAGAAAGTGTTGTTGGAGAGCTGCCGAGCAGCCTCTTGTTCATATTCTGACCTATTCATGATGACAACAGCACCTCCTTTGTCAGCCTTTTTGATTATGATGTCAGAGTTGTTTCTGAGGCTGTGGATGGCATTGTGTTCTGCACAGCTGAAGTTATGGAGCAAGTGATGCTGCTTTTCCACAGTTTCAGCCCATGCACGTCGGCGGAAGCACTCTATGTAGAAGTCCAGTCTGCTGTTTCGACCTTCAGGAGGAGTCCACCTAGAATCCTTCTTTTTGTAGTGTTGGTAGGGAGGTCTCTGTGGATTAGTATGTTGTTCAGAGGTATGTTGGAAATATTCCTTGAGTCGGAGACGTCGAAAATAGGATTCTAGGTCACCACAGAACTGTATCATGTTTGTGGGGGTAGAGGGGCAGAAGGAGAGGCCCCGAGATAGGACAGCTGCTTCGGCTGGGCTGAGAGTATAGTTGGATAGGTTAACAATATTGCTGGGTGGGTTGAGGGAACCATTGCTGTGGCCCCTTGTGGCATGTAGTAGTTTAGAAAGTTTAGTGTCCTTTTTCTTTTGTAGAGAAGCAAAGTGTGTGTTGTAAATGGCTTGTCTAGTTTTAGTAAAGTCCAGCCACGAGGAAGTTTGTGTGGAAGGTTGGCAGGAGAGTGGGTTTGTGTGTGTTTGTGGGGGGGTGGGGGGGGAGAAAACCTGGATTTGTGCTGGAAATGGCCCAACTTGATTATCATACACATTGTAAGGAGAGTGATCACTTTAGATAAGCTATTACCGGGTGGGGGGAGGTATTTTTTCATGCTTTGTGTGTATAAAAAGATCTTCTACACTTTCCACAGTATGCATCTGATGAAGTGAGCTGTAGCTCACGAAAGCTTATGCTCAAATAAATTGGTTAGTCTCTAAGGTGCCACAAGTACTCCTTTTCTTTTAGTCCAGACTATGTCTTTCCCCGGTTTGACCTGGGGGGCCCATATGTCTCGTTTTGGCTGGGACAGTCCCCTTTTTAAGCTTGGTCCTGGACATCACAACTTTTTTGGGGGGCAAAAATGGGCATTTGTCCCATTTGCTATCCCATTTAGCGTGGAGAAACATTTGGACAAGAGCCAGTGGGACCAATGTCCAGTTTTGCCAAAAAAGTCATGACATCTGTGACGTTGGTTCAGGCTGACGGCCTCGCCTGGCAGGGCTTGGGCCAGCTCTGAGAGGTGGGGCTCAGGCGAGCTTTGACACCAGGCAGCACGGGGCTGACCCTGAGACGCCTGCCGCGGTCACGTACCCGGTGTCCCGTTTTCAATTTAAGGAAATACGGTCACCCTGTGGGGGCCGCGTATCTTGCCTCAGTTGGGCCTCCTTCGCCCTGAATGTGGTTCCTCCAGAGCCTCTCACCCGAACCCCCAGCACCTACAACGGTGTGACACAGCCAGGCCTGGAAACAGCCACTGACTCTAGAGCCCACAGGGGGTGCCCTTTGCCAGAGCTGCCCTTCCCCTGCCTTCCCCAGGCGGGTCTGATCATGGAGGCTGTTCTGCATAGATCACACTGGGGGGGGGGTCCCCCTCTCAGGCTAAGGGCCCATTAGATGTCCCCTCCCCAGCGCCCACAGTCCTCAGCCCTCTTCTTCCAGAGGGGTAGCCGCGCCAGTCTGTATCAGCAAAAACAACGAGGGGCTTTTCGCCCACGAAAGCTTAGGCCCAAATAAACGTGTTCCTCTCTGAAGCGCCGCCAGGACGCCCCCCCCCGCTTGCTTCAACCCGACCCCGGGCAACGCGGCCTTTCCCCACCCGCCCCGCATCTCCGCCAGGAGTCGCCTTCCCCTCGCTGGTTCGCAGCGGCCTCCCACAATGCACCATGGGCCTGGTGGCTGCCGCTGGCTCCGGCTCCGCACCCGGGGATTGTTGCACAATGCTGCCGCCGCCGCCGCCAGGGAGCTGAGAGCCGGGGGGCGGCCGGCGGGCGGGGAAAGCGGCGCGAGCCTTCTCCGCCGGCCAACCAGCCTCCCCGGCGCCTGCAGCGCCCTGCACGCTTGGCGGCCCTGCTCCCCGCCGCCGGCAGGTAAGGGCTGGAGGCGGGCTCGCCTCGCGTGGTTGTGAGGCTGGGGTTGTCCAGACATGGCTCCCCTCTCCCAGCGGCTCCCGGACGGGTGGGAGAGGAGGAGTTGGGGCGCGCGTTGGCCGGTGCGGCAGGCTGAGCCGCGATTGGGGTTATCCTGCCGCCGGAGGCTCTGGGGTGGGGAGCCCTGGCCGCTTCGCACGGAGCGGGAGGCGGGCGGCTGGCTCGTGTGTGGCCGCAGGGGAGGGCGCACGGGTGTAAAGAGCTAGGGCTTGTTGCACGCTCGTGTGGGTCCGTGCCAGGGCGCACTCTTCTGCCTCCCCCCCGCCCCCCAGGCGTGTGTCCCGGTGCCCTGCGGTGGGCACGGGCGGGATGGGAAGCCGGCCCCCGGCGTGTGCGGGACTTCGGGCGGCGGCTGCCACGCCGAGTCGTTCCGAGGACGGGAGCGCGGCCGGCGGGGGGTCGTGTTTTGTTTTGTTTTTTTGTCTTGTAACCCCCCCCCCCCCCCCCCCGAAAAGCCACGCGCGAGCCCCAGAGGCAGGGAAACGTCCCGCCCGAAGCCGCTCTTCTCCGGGCTCGCTGCCGCTCCGCTCCGCCTTGTTCGCTGGCCGGGTTTCTTTGTGCCGGCGCGGAGCGAGAGGCTGCCAGCCGGCGCCGGGGAAAGCGAAGCACGCGGGGGCAGCCGCGCCCCGGGCCTGGAGTCTCACGCCCCCCGGGGAGCGCGGGGGAGCCTGCCGCTCTGAAGCCCAGCTTCCGTCTGTCTGCCCGGCCCCCCGCTCCCAGATCTGCCGGGCAGCCTCCTTATTCCCCTCCCACCACTCCCTTGTACATTGGTGTGGCTGGCCCGGCGGGTCCCGTAGAGAACTTTCTTGCTCTGTGTGTGTGTTTGTGTGTTTGTGTGTGTCAGCAATGGGAAAAGCCAAACACTGACGGGAGCTATGTTGATTACATTACATTACATTGTAAGGAGAGTGATCACTTTAGATAAGCTATTACCAGCAGGAGAGTGGGGTGGGGGGAGAGAAAACCTTTTGTAGTGGTAAACACCCATTTTTTTCATGCTTTGTGTGTATAAAAAGATCTTCTGTACTTTCCACAGTATGCATTCAGATGAAGTGAGCTGTAGCTCACGAAAGCTTATGCTCAAATAAATGGGTTAGTCTGTAAGGTGCCACAAGTCCTCCTGTTCTTTTTGACAGGAGCTAGTTCCCAATATATCAACAGTGCATGGCGCTCTAGGAGTGAGTATGGTACAGGGTGACCAGAGAGCAAATGTGAAAAATCAGGACGGGGGTCCGGAGGGTAATTGGCACCTATATAAGAAAAAGCCCCAAATATCGGGACTGTCCCTATAAAATTGGGACGTCTGGTCACCCTACTATGGTACCACCATAGCTGTGAGGGAAAGTCTGCAGAGTTTGCTGCAGTACTCTCATATCATTATGTATTTTTAAAGCAAGCTCAAGCAGCTCCATACTTCTCAGATGGGGCTCTCTGGTGTTTTCTTACATGGCAGTGTAAGACTCTTGTCTCCTCCTCCCCCAATTCTGAATGGGGGGGCAGTTTGGAATTTGTTTCTGATTTAAAAAAACAACAGCCACCCATCATGCTGGGTCAAATTAAGCTTGGGTCAAAGCGAATACCTGGAGTTTGGGAAACTTCAGGATTGCAACCCCTTCACCAAGCCCTGGTTTTGGTCCAGTTAGCGTATTGATGGTATAACACAGCACTTCAATGCAAGGGAATGGCAGTCAGTCACGTTACAGTCGAACCCAAGTGAATCCTTCCCCTGGCAAATCTTACTTTTAAAAGAACCTTGCCATTTGGAAAGTAAGGAAAATTTGATCTTTGCAATCATTTTTGAGGTGCAGAGAAGCCCTTCCTGGCAGGGATGATTTTAGCAATGTCCAGAGAGGAGGGGATGGAAAAATTATCCCAAATTCCCTTTAGCTTGAACATGGGTGTTTCAGGATATCCCTCCTCCTGCACATCACTTCTTATTGGTATCTGTATCTCCCTTTTCATGTTAACTCCTCATGCTGGGATGTGGATTATTAGGGCACTTCTGATTTATTTTCAATGAAGATATTACTGCTTCTAAAATCAGAACTCCGAGTCTCCCACTGTCATTGCACAATCTTCTGTCTTTTCCCCTCATCCCCCTTGCTGGCGCAGTACTCTTGGCACATTATGCTTCCAGCATAGGCCTGTAACTCTGAGTCTGGAGGTGATAGATTTGGAAGAAGCCTAATGCCGTATTAGCAAGACATTACCTACGGGTTTTTTTTTTTTTTAATTGTAGAGCTGTGTGAAAGCACCAAGAAAGAGCAACATTTAAAAAAGAAAAAAGGGAATTTTGTCAGGAATAAAAATAGGACAGAAGCTTACATCATGAAACACATGGTTTATTTGTTTATCTTTCCCACCACATCAGACTACTGGGGCTCACTAAAGGGCAAATGGTCCAACCTCGTATCTTCCTTTAAAACTCGATTCCAGTCTCTTATTGTCTTAAACAAAATCATCTGAACAAACTTCTTCCCTGTCCTCTGAGGAAGCTGCAGTCTGTCTTTCAGAGGCTCTTCCTTCACTCCTCCTTCCCCACCTCACTTTTTAAAACCAACTTGCTGAGGTCTTGCTGGCTGCAAGGTCCCGATACAACAGCCCCTACAGGGGTGTCCGTAAAGCAGTTAGACCCTGAGATGAAAGGGGCTGTGTAAGTGCCAAGTGTGATTACTGGTGGTGGTGGTGGTAGCTGTTATATTCCATTCGGGGCTGGGTGTGCTGACGAGGGTTTGGTGCAGAGTTAATGTTCTGTGCCACTCTGGGATCGTAAGGCAGTGGATGCTATAAAGCAAAGAAGCTGGCACCTTTCTCTGGCAAGATTTAGAGAAGTTCCTGTGCCATGCCCACCACTGCAGGACCTGGCCAGGTCCGGAAGCTGGAGTCTGAACAAGCTTTGAACTCCCGCAGAGCACTGGAATGTGCCTCTCCCACTCCCGCAGGGCTGCCCGCACAGGAGCCAGCAGAAGGGGAAGCCGGAGGGAGGACGCTCTGCTATGAGGCTGGAATCCTTTCCAGAAATCATTGACATGGCACCGTCCACGTGCATGGCGCTCATACAGCAAGACAGCGTCCGAGACATCTCCTATCCACAAGAGCCTGCGCAATGTAGGAGAGGCAGGTTACCTATTTGTATGGCACTGTTGATGGTCAGACACAGAGAAAGGCATGGTTCCCTTCCAGTCCAGGTAGACGATACGAAGGAGGCAGCGAAAAGCAATGAGCACTCGTCTCGTTAATGAACAGTTAGGGGATGTCAGCCACCTGCTGAGGGGAGGGTTACAGTGGGCCAGCTTGTTGGAAGAAGTATGTTTGAAATAGGGACTCGGAGGAGGAAAGGGCCAAGGCGAAGGTGGGGCTGGATAGGGAGGTTGTTCGTGCAAAGGACGTTACACAGAAGAGGGCACAGAGGCAGGAGTGGAAAAAGGACATCGAGCCCTTATGCTTCAGAGCAGAAGCCAAACTCTGTAACTGTGAAGGTCAGGAAGGCGCTTTTCCTGCAAGCCGGTTATTCCCCAGCTGGCTACTTCAGGGTTTCTTGCACTGTCGTTGGAAGCGGCTGGTTCTGGCCACTGTCAAAACAGGCTATTGGCGTAGATCAGAGCAGAGGGCTATCTACAGGGCATTTCCTCTGCTCCTATGACTGGGGTGCTTCGTTAGATTACCTGGCTGGAGTGAAATAAGATGAAGAGGGTATGGAGAGCTCATCAGAGAGGAGAATAAGGAAGGAATGGCTCCTGGAAAAGTGCATTTTAAGTAGGGATTTGAAGGCTGAAACGGGTGCTGGGTTGAGTGGGGGAGACTGTTTCAGGTGCAACTCAAATCTCCTTTCAAAGGTGGGTGATGAATTGGCCTGGGGGAGGCCACTCCGCACAGAGAAGCAGGCAGGTGACCTGTGCAGTAGCATAGAGTCCTGGCCTGTGGCTCAGCCAGGTCCTGGCTCTGCACTCCTAGCGCTGCTTCCCAGTTCTAACGCTGTAGTTAGAAATGCATAGGGCTTATCTGGTGCGTTGGAGCTGCCATCTACACACACATCCATGCATTGCCTGAATAGTTCGGTCTTGCCAGCCAAGTGCCTGAGGTGGAGGGGAGGGAGTTGCATCAAGTCATCTGCAGCAGCAGGGGCGAGTTGACGTTTATCTTCACTCAGCAGGTCCGACTAGGAGACACAAGTGGATCTGGATGCAAGCAGGGTGCAGCTTTGTTCTTGCAAGTGCTGCAGAGGGAGGTCGTGTAAGTGGGGACAGCTCTGTGCTTACCCTAGTCTGTGCCAGCTCTGAGTTTGGCTCAATAACCAGAAAACGTTTCCCTTGTGCTGAATGTAATTGATGTCAGTGGAATTACACTAATGCTGAATTTGGCCCATTCAAGCCTAAACTTGGTAACACTCAGTCCTAGGAGGCTGTGGACCAGTCTCCCAAGGGAAGTGGTGGAAGCCCCATTGCTTGGGTCGTTTAAGACTAGACTAGACATAACATTGAGTAATCTATTGCTGGAAGCAATCCTACACTGGAGACTAGACAAGAGGCAATGTCTCTTCCAGCTCTTTTTATGAATGCACAGACTCCCAGATATGTGTGTGCAGGGTGTGAGCACTAGAAAGGCTCACATTGAAATTGGTTAAATTTTTATTCCGACATACATGCATTTGCTAGTCTAACTCCCTGTCGAGAGGTGTGGGTTGAGCACAGGGTTGGGAGCCAGAAACTCTTGAGCTCTAATTTTGATTCTCACACTGATTTGTTGTGTGACCGTGGGCATGTCAGTTTCCCTCTGTGCCTTAGTTCCCATTATTAAATGGGAAATAATACTACTTGGTCGTTGCGGCTATTAATTGCGTAGTGCTTTGAAGTTGTGAAGTGCTATATGAGTGCTGATATCGCAATGAATTGGTCATTGTATGTGTACTACCATCCTCCAGTGGATGGAACTGGAACTGT